GGCATTCATTACGGAGCCATCGCTGGCCAAGCTGGTGCACTTCCAGACATATCCCAAATCCGTAATACCCATGATTGTGGCCAGCGTGCCATCGATGCACATCTGTATCGATTTCGTGCACGAGTTTCTCAATGTTACCGAAATGGACAAACAGATCTTTACGATTGAGCTAACATCACATCTGGTGCTCAACTATTCGATACCCAAGAGCCTGGGCGTCTCCAAGTTCTGTCTGAATGTGATCCAGACGACGCTCTCGCTGCTCACCTCCTCGGCCAAGTGCAAGTTCCTGCGCAACGTGCTGCCCGCCATGGTTCGATTTGTCGAAACGTTTCCCATACTGGCCGACGATTGTGTCAACATTCTGATGAACACCGGCCGGAGTCTACATTCGCAATCGTCGCTGGGCGTTACCACCATGCAAATGCCGCTCACCGAGAGTGCCAAGCTCTGCTCATACCGGGACGCCCAGCTGCATATCACGATGATCGAGGACGCTTTCAAAGCGCTCGTCGAGGCTGTCATGCAGAAGGCGGAGCTCTATTAGAAACAACACTCCCCCCTACCCGTCTAGCTGAACTCTATTCAAAATCATTAAGCAGGAAGTCTAAAGTCTATTTTAGGAAGCATTCTGAACAGATGCTTGTATTATGTGTGCACCAGGTTTAGAAGTCAATAATTATCTATATGTATAAATTACATTTGTACCTCCCGAACGAGCTATCAATAAATGTTTTACACTAAATTTAAATCGTACATCTAAAAGGTTTTATAATATACCAAATAGCTGTACACTTAGTCTAAGGTCTCTCTCCCTCTCTCTCTTTCTGTCTCTCTCTTCCGTATTCCAAGTTTAAATACTCTACCTTTTGCAGTCTCTTAAGTTCAAGGCGTTTCTATGTCCACTTTCTCTAAAGCCTTTCCCACTCTCTCTCTCTCTCTCCCTCTGTCTCCCTCTCTCTCTGTCTCCCTCTCCCTCTTTTCTTCCATATACAATCTTGTAATACTCTACCTTTCGCAGTCTCTGTTTCTTTTAGATTATTCAAAAACCTTTTTAACTTAATTGTTTTCTCTTTTCCAGGCCTGTTCTTGGATTAGAATAAGTGTACATAAAGTTTTGGATCTGTGCTCGGGAACTTCGACTCCGTTCATTTCCAAATTTATTTAGGAATTTTCGTTGCTTCTTTCTTAAACTGCATAACAAATTTAAAGACTCTAGCTCTTATAGTCTCTGAGTTCTTAGGGCATTTACTTTGAGATATATACATTTATATAGATGGTATTTTTCGCTCTACATGGAGATATATGTATATATGGATGCTATTTTTCGAACTAGAATTTTTTAGATTTTTTGTATACCTTCGAAGAAGAAGAAGTTAAGATTTCACTTTAAGAATCGTGCTTCTATTTCTAGCGTAGTATTCCTGAATACTGGAGTAATATTTCTATGCGAAACTTGCCTTTATACGCCTGGAAGGGGGACTCTTGATATCTCGACCAGATCATAAATCTCCTTCTCTCCTGGGACTATATTTACTTATTATCATAATACCCTGCCCTGGGCAGGCCATATTTAGATAGTCGCAGGTTCTAGATTTCGTAGCCTCCGTTTTGAGCCCCTTCTCCTCTCTCCCAGCTCGAATTTTCTTTCATATAATTTGTTTATGTTTTTTTATTGTTATTTTACAACTAACGGTATTTCTTGCATTTACATATATAACATGTAAAAAATAGTATTTAGGAATAGTTTTTTAAAAAAAAAAAAAGTAAAAGAAGAAACGTCAAACACAATGCAGAAACGCCAGCGCCTGGGAATGCGGCCAATCCCAGCCGACAACTTGTTCAAAAAGGAGATAAATGCGAAACAAAACTCGATGTTCACGCGGAACCATCGAATACATGTGTGTGTGTGTGTGTGTGTGCGAGCGGGCGGGCGGTCGTGTGTGTGTGTAAGCTGTGGGAGGCGTGGCGCGGGGGTAGCTGACTGCACCCAAGTAAGAGAATGTGGGTGCCTGCGCGGATTGCCGCCGCATCCCATTGCCTGGCCTTTATGCATCGTGGGCCTAAACATATGAATGGTGTGTGTGTGTGTTGGTGTGTGTTTGGGTGTGTGTGTGTGTGGCTGCGTTTACATCATGCCACCCATACCGCCCATGCCTCCCATGCCGCCCATGCCACCCATGCCGCCCATGCCAGGAGCAGCATCCTCCTTGGGTATCTCGGTGACAACAGCCTCGGCGGTGGTCAGCAGCGAAGCAACGCCGGCGGCATCGGTGATGGCGGTGCGCACCACCTTGGTGGGATCGATGATGCCCTTCTCGATCAGATTGCCGTATTCGCCCTTGAGCGCATCGTAGCCATAGTCGCCCGACTGGGTCTCCACCTTGGCCACGACCATGGCGCCATCGACGCCCGCGTTCTTGGCAATTGTCATGCAGGGCATGCGAAGGGCGCGACGCACAATGTCCACGCCGAGGTTCTGGTTGGAGTGTAAAATATTAATGGATATGGAATTGCAACAAAGGGACAGCAACTAACCTGATCCTCGTTGGTGGTGGCGACGCTGTCCAGTTTCTCGATGCAGCGCAGCAGGGCGGTGCCGCCGCCGGGCACGATGCCTTCTTCGACGGCAGCACGGGTGGCGTTGAGTGCATCATGGACGCGATCCTTCTTCTCATTGACCTCGACCTCGCTGGAGCCGCCGACGCGCAGCAAAGCGACGCCGGAGGCGAGACGGGCCAGACGCTCCTGGAGTTTCTCCTTCTCGTATTCGGATGTGGTGTCTGTGATCTGTTCCTTGATCTGGTCGACGCGACGCTGCACATCGTCCTTCTTGCCCTTGCCCTTCAGCAGCAGTGTGTCATCCTTGGTGATGACCACCTCGCCAACCTGACCCAGATCGCTGATCTTGACATCCTCCAGCTTGACCAGATCGGCATCATCGCCAAAAACAATGCCGCCCGAGGCGATGGCCATGTCGGTGAGGGTCGACTTGCGATTGTCACCGAAGCCGGGCGCCTTGACGGCGGCCACCTGGAGGCCGATCTTCAGGCGATTCACCACCAGGGTGCTGAGCGCCTCACCATCGATGTCCTCGGCAATGATGACCAGCGGCTTGCGCTGCGAGTTAGCCAGCTCAAGGGCGGGTATGATGCTCTGCACCGAGGAGATTTTCTTCTCCGAGAGCAGCAGCAATGCATCCTGGAACTCAACTTTGGCGCCCTTCGACGAGTTGATGAAATACGGCGAAATGTAACCGCGATCGAACTTCATGCCCTCAATCACCTCCAGCTCATCGATGAGGGTCTTGCCATCCTTGACGGTAATGACGCCATCGCGTCCGACACGCTTCATTGCATCGCTGATGAGCTTGCCAATGGCCTGGTCGCCGTTCGCCGAGATTGTGGCCACCTGGGCGATCTCTTCGGGCGTCTTGACGGGACGCGACATGGTCTTTAGGTTGTCCTTGACGGTGTCGACGGCCAACATGACGCCGCGACGAATCTCCACGGGATTGGCACCCTTCGAGATCTTCTCGAAGCCCTCCTTGGCAATGGCACGAGCCAGCACTGTGGCTGTGGTGGTGCCATCGCCGGCCTCCTCGTTGGTATTGTTGGCCACATCCTGGACCAGCTTGGCGCCAATGTTCTGGAACTTGTCCTTCAGCTCAATGGCCTTGGCCACCGTAACGCCATCCTTGGTGATCTTTGGCGAGCCCCACGACTGCTCAATGATCACGTTGCGACCCTTGGGACCCATGGTCACGGCCACAGCATCGGCCAGCACATCGACGCCCTGCAGCATCATGGCGCGCACCTCGGCACCAAACTTGACATCCTTCGCATAGCTGCGCATCGCCAGCTGTCGGCTGATCGAGGTGCGTGCAAGTGAAACTGGTAGGCGGAACATCTGCAACACGATATCGATTATCGATAAATCACAAATGCACGCAAAAAAAAGAAAAAACACGTGCACACTGTTGCTAGTCAAGCTAATTTACAGCTATTTTGAAAACCTAACTAATTTTGCAACACTGCTTCACAGCGTTAAATGGGAGCTATTAAAATGGATTTCAATTTCACTTGATTAAATCATTTTTTGCGGCACCCCCCTCAGCTAAGTGATAATAAATGACCCACCACCCACCGGGCTTCGGTCTATCGATAACAAACGAACGTGTAAACGAGAGCAAGTCTTCCAGAACAAATCATTTATGTAACCCAGCCGCTGACCCCTTCTCCTATACGTATATAAACGTACGTGTGTGTGTGTGTGGTTGCAATGTTTGGTCTTGTTATGAAATTTGGGGCAAGTGCATGGCCGTTGCATGCATTAATCTAAAGTCTAATTGGAAAACATGAACAGAAATTGTGAAATTGTTGGCACCGGCGAGAGCGAAAACATGTGCGCCCGTCGCTGTTACGTGAGTGCACGCCGCTGGTTGGAAAGTCAATTCCAATACGAAAATCAACTATTTTGAATGGTATACGTTCCATTCGGTAATAATGTCTATTGTGAACATAATTAACTTACATTTGCTTAATTGAAACACGTTACGTTGCAGAAGATTCTAGAAAGAAAACAGCCGCTCGCTTTGCCGGTTGTCTTATATAACACACACACACACACACCAACGCACACACACAACAATGATAATGCAATTATTTGAGCACACGCGGTTTTGTATGTAAGTTGAAATTATTATGTTAATGCTACTTACTTTGATATTGCTTTTCTTTGTTTGTTTTTACAGTGACTTGAAAATCAAAAATAAAACTGTGTATGGAACACTTCCGATTTAACTTGATATAAATTAACAAGCTCACTTGCTCGAAATGTGCCGCAGGCGGACTCCTAACCTTAAGAAGACTTTTGAATGAGTGAAATGTACAATGTGACCGCAGTGGGTAAGTAAGAGAATGTATTAAGGTAAATAGCGAAAAATACCAAAAACAGCCAACTTCACGTTTCGACTCAATTGTGAACGATAGTATCGATAGTTTTGGCATATTTAGTTAACGTTTATTTGAAAAAAATGGATAAGCGCATTATGTTTAAGTTACAAATTGTATTCGCTGCTCTAGACCCGCAGTTATAGGTCCAATCGCATTCATATAGTCCATCAAAGCATCCAAATCAAAGGGGCCCATTCTGTAATTGTATATTGTATGCATATAAATATGTATGTAATCGGCCAATTTATGGCAGGGCTTACTCAAGCTCTTGGGCGTGGTCGCTAATCAGCGAGAAACCGTTTTTACCATTCGCCAGATATTCCATGACCACCAGCCGATAATGCTGACTCAGCTGCAATGGCCGGTACTCGGGTATCGCGCAATCGGCACAGCGCACAAGTACACGGACCAGCCGCTGGCCCGGCTCAGCCATTAGATTATAGATTATCCTCAATCCGGAGACCTGCAGAAAGCGCTTGGATATGGGCGACACTAGACTCGAGTTCATGGGCGCTACAGCATCCTCCAGCAGCTGCCACAGATGCTCACCCCGCAAGTTCAGAGCATACAAACGGTTCTCCCACGGACACATGGCCACCAGCTGTTTGTAGCTTATATCTGGTCAGGATGGAACAGTTCCATTTAGTTGCATTTGAAAAAGCGGTTTCAGCAACTTACCGCCCGCCGGTATGGGCACACGAAAGTTACCCTGGCTGGTTAGGGCAACTGTCACGTTGCTCCAATTGGACGCTTGCGCGGATGCCTCCTTGACGAACTGCAAAGCTAAGGGTTAAGCAAGGAGCAGCTGTTTGCTGAACTTGATACGCACGGCATGGAGCATGGCGTCCGTGTAGAGATTGCCCAAATTGCATTCGCCACGCGCGCATTCCGCCTGCTGCAAAGGGACCCGACTGCTGCCCACAATCCGATTGGATGACTCCGCCAGCTGGGCCTGCCAGGGTGCCAGGGCCAGGAGCACGGCATTGTCTTCGAAATTAAAGTGTTATATTTCGGATTAGGCAATGGAATAGAAGAAGTGGTCCGTGATCCGTAAGGGACTTACGGAGCCGGGGACTAGGATTTTGGGGCGTGCCACTAACCAATTTCCCAATTATCGATAATTATCTGTTTTCATGAAATCGATAACATTTTCGATAGGTTTTTCGAGCTATTTCGGATCTGTCTACATCTCTTTCGGTCAATAGTTTTAGACTTTTTTAAGAGCTTTCCCGTGAAAATTGAAAACCAATTCATTCTTTGGCATATAAAGGGTATCTGCTAGTCGTGCACTCTCACTTGTTTTTATCTCCAAGCTTATATCAAGCAAGAAAATTCATAGCTATTTAAGGGAGATTTAAGCTAAGTCGAACATTTTTTCGTGTTGTTTCACGCTTTTCGCAAAATTCACCTTTTCACGTGGAAATGCGGAAATGCGAAAATTTGATTCGGATTCGAAGTTACCAAAGCAGGCATTCGACGCGCACAAGGCCGGACAAGGCCGGGTAATGAAAAACTTCTGCTTGAATTACTTACAACATTTATTTATGATTTAAAAAAAAAAAAATGAAGGTCAGCTTCTCAGTTGAGCACAGTGATGCGGCCCTCGAGGCCCGTGTAGATGGGATCAATGTTGCTGGTGTAGGAGAGCAGGGCCTCCAGATCCGTGATGCTGATTCTGCAAGTGCACATGCGGATTAGACAGTTTAGGGATTGATTAAGATTGAGCCCTTTGGGGGCGGGGCCACTCACTGGACGTCGGTGCCCTCGGCTAGCATGGTGAAGCCATTGCCGCCGCCCTGCAGAAAATCGGGCGAGGCGATGCGATAAATTTTGGCCGGCTCCAATGGCTCATAGATGGGCACATCGCAGTCGGCGCAGCGCGCCAGCACGGAGATGACGCGCGAATTGATCGGCTTGGTGTAGTCATAGGTGACCTTCAGACCGGCCACCTGCAGCATTATGTACGAGCTGGTCACCCCATTCTCCAGATCAATCTTGCTGACACCATACTCCAGCGCCTCGACCAGCTTCCGGCCGGGCAGATTGTAGGCAATCAGCTTATTCTCAAACGGCGACATATTCACCATATGCGCATACGTCAGATCTGTGGAACAGTTGCTCGACTTGAGCTCAGCTCATGTTTACATTACATTCTACTCACTGCCGCGCAGCAGGGCCATGCGCAGGCCGCCGGTGGCCGCCAGTCCGATGGATACATTTGTCCAGGCGTTCTGATTAAACGGCGTCAGACCCGTGAACTGCAACGGGGCGTGGCATTCGGTTAGGATGCAGCGAGCACGGGCTCGGAACGAACAGCGTTTAGCTTACCGTATGGATCATGGCATCGCAGAAGAAGTTGCCCAGATTGCATTCCCGGTCGCTGCAGTCGCTCTTGGTCAGGTCGACCATGGTGCGGCCGACGACCACCTGTCCCTCTCGATTGATCACCTCCTTCCAGGGCTCCAGCGCCTTTAGCACTTCCTCGTCTGCAGCGGCAACAACAACAACAACAATAACAACATGTCACAAAAGGAATGCGAGAGTGCCCGACTAGCTAGATACCCTGTACTCTCTACAAATGGAAGCGACTGGCACAAGCGGCTCAAAAAGTGTGGACTGTGCTCTTTAGCGCTGATGAAAGCCGAGCTACAGCTAAAATACGCATGCGAGCTATCGATATTTATCGATAACATTTATCAATAAGTTTAAACAGCATAACGAAACCAAAAGGTCACCATCAATTCCGCTTACTCTTATAATTTTCCAGAAATGCCTAAAACTAAAAATCGTCGTTTATCGATACCAAGAAAATCGGTTCGATATTTATCGATTCTGACAAAATGTATAAAGAACGTTGCTGTGTAGACGCTGGTTCAAAGGAATGTGCTCAACAAAACGTTGCTGAAAATCGATATTTATCGATTTCAAATCAACAAATTGAGTTGCTATTTGAATTAAATTGGAACTGCATATCTCAACCCAAAAGTCAACATCCAACTCCGCTTGCTCCTACAATTTGCAAGAAATGCTTAATGCTGCCTATCGATAGTTATCGATTTTCAGCAAAAAAGGACAAGCTACAATTAAAAATAAATTTGAACTTAATACCGAATTTAACGGGTGACAATTAACTCCTTAAATATAATTATAATTGAGAATCGATAATTATCGATAGCAAGGCTATCGATAACACGCCCGATTACGGCTGTGAGTGAACTGCATAACATAAGCTACGTATTGATGTTCAGGGCAGCCAGGGTGGGACCGTGGAAGAAAACTTAGAGGAACTTACCCTCCGGTACGTCCGGCCCCATATAGAGGGGTGCACCCTCGAAGTCCAGGACGTCGCCATGGTCATCGAAATAGACCGTCAGATTGCCAACATATTTGGCATAGCAGCCCGCCTGAACGATGAGCACCCGATGGCCGCTGCTGTGGATCACCTCGGTGGGATAGTCGCCGCGCGACTTGTCCGGCCCGGGCGGATCGCCCGTGTAGAGGAAGGTGTGCGAATGGGAGCCAACAATGACATCGATGACATCGCCCGCATTCGCGGCGATCACCTTGTCCACATCGTAGCCGCAGTGCGAAATGACAATGATGATGTTGGCGCCCTGCTCCTGCAGCAGGCGTGCCTCCTCGCGGATGGTGTCGCTCTCGTTGCGGAAGATCAGCTTGCCCGTGTTGGCCAGAGTCTGTGCGGAGAGCGAGGATCAGAGCGAGCGATGGAACGATAGCTAGATGGAGCACTTACGTCTGTTGTCTCCAAAATGACACCGATCAGTCCGATCTTGCGGCCGCCGCGCTCCAGGATCAGCGAACGCTCGTAGAGGCCATCCATGGTGGGCTCGTGGGCGCTGTCCATGTTGGCCACCAGCATGCTGGTGTTGATGGTCTTCAGGAAGGGCACGACGCCAGCGACGCCATGATCGAACTCATGGTTGCCCAGTGTCTGCGGAAAATGTTGAAGAAATCCCATCAAGCTTCACCTTAAAGATCTCCAGCCGGAGTCGGACCTACCATGACATCGGCGGGCAGCATATTGAGAAACTCCTGGGTAACATTCCAGCGTCCAATATTGTACCAGAGCGTGCCCTGAAAGCTGTCGCCCGCATTGATATAGATGGGATTATGATCGCGCTGCTCCTCCAGCAATCTGCGAACCATGTGCACGGTGCGCGCATAGCCACCGACGCACTCCTCGCCCTCATCACAGATGCCGCCGCTGGTGTCCGTTGGCTCGAATCTGGCAGTTTTGGAAGGCACTCAATGAATGACATTGGACTATTTTATGATATAGACGATACGGATTGGCCTTATCGGATCGCATGTGCGACAACAAGTGCCTGATAAAAGCGCTGTGCACGATTATGATGATTGTTTACGGCACTCGAATCACGGACGCGGATAATCACGCGCACTTGCCTGGCATGGAAATCGTTGATGTGTATCAGGGACAACGGAAATCGATCCTCGGCGGCCAGCGTGTGGCCGGCGCCAACGATAAGCAGCATTAGCGTCCAGGGCATAGCCCCCATCTCGGCAAGCATCATTGTGGCGGATCGTCTCCTCTCCTCTCTCGAGTGTGCTTCTCACGCCTAATCCGTGCGGCGTTTCTCGTGCGACTGAGCAGCCGTTGCTGTTCCAGAAAAATGAACTACCTCTCCAATTACCATTATTTATGATATATACCATATACTATATATATATATATTTGTGTGTTGGACAGTGTTATATGACTCTTGACTGGCCTCAGTTGATTAACTAGTCCGATACTCCCTGCCCTGCCCCGCCCCCTAGCCCCAACTCGGCCCATTGAAATACCCAAGAGGGTTGCCTAATACAGTACAGATGTCGCTCGATAAGTGCAACTTCTTGAATGAGAAACTTCATAGGCTATACGTCCTAAAATTGTGGACATGGAACGAGCTAATCTTTATTCCTTCTACGTCTCTTCCAGTTATTCAAGAATTTGTCGTTCTATATATATCCATATATCTATATCCGATTTTTATTAATATTAAAAACAGCCCTCGCATATAAAGTTGTTGAATAATTTTCTACAACTGTTGCATGCACGGAAAATATTCCGGAACGTGCTTAATTAAAATTGCATATATTTATATATATATATATAATATCTATAATCTATCAGGCTTATCTGCGTAAGTGCCTTGCGAGCTGATAAATCAGCATTCATAAATCAAATATCTTGCGTTTCAAAGGTTAACGGCTCGCGCGCTATCGAATAATCGATTCTTGAATGTTCACTGAGCTACTTGCAAAAACATCGATACCGATTATTTTTGTTTATTAATTGGCACGCGCGCCAAATTCAAAGTTGAAGTCTTACGATATTCGCGGCATTTTTCTTATCGTAAATTACAATTGCATACCGAGATTATGTTGCTTAATTGGCGCGCGCCAAATTCAAAGTTAAATTCGGACTTACGATATTCGCGGCATTTTTTTATCGTAAATTACACACTTTAATTGTAGTATAATTTTTATTGACAATAGAATTTGGAGCTCTTCATAAAGTTACTCGTAGGTATAAAGCACAGTATATGTATGTATGTTTTATGATTTTGTTTGCAAGTACATATGTAAGTATTGTATATAAATATATATTGTATGTGTATATTTAAATTGTATATATATCTGAATATTTATGTATGCGTATTATTATTATTTTATTTAATTGCTTAGCTTAAAGCACAGAGAATTTTGATATGAGAATGATTAATAACATTCTGCGTTCGGTGATTGGCGCCACGCACTCAATTGATTAGCTGCCCCTCTTTCAAATGGGCCCAAGAGCGGGGATGGGGGCGGTGTGTGTGTGTGTGTGGGTGGGGGGAGGGGGGGTAAGGTTTTACCATGCACTGAGATCTTATGATCCTAACCGTCAGTGATTCGTTCGCGTCCGAACGGCAACGAGAATAACAAAACAAATTAACGGCGGGGACGTAACACAAATTTGACTAGAAAAAAAATCAACTCCCTGATTTGTTGTGTTTATGTGTGTGTGTCGAAATTCGCAAAAGTCGGTGAGAATACATTTGCTGAACGGGTGTAAAGATTTTGTGAATCGGTTTCGGATACTGGGCTGCCGTAGTGTCTGCGGTGTGTGTGGTGTGTCTAGTGAAAGACATCCATGAAGGGAAAGTGCGCCTGCTCCGGCTCAAGCAGATCGACCAGGAAACAGACGGTGCCGGCGACGCCCTCGTACAGGCTGTGCGGCCGATCTGGGACACGGGCGCGCTGCTTGAACTCCGAATTGGTTAGCAGCTCCATGAATTTGTGCGCCCGATACAGGTACTTCATTTCGTTGGTCAGGCGAAAGAGCAGCAGAAAGACATAACCGTTGCCGGCGACGCCATGACAGATGCCGGGCCCCTTGCGCAGGAAGCCCTTCTTCCAGACAAGATCGGCGGCGCGTCGCAGCGAGATAATGTACTTGTCCTCCTTGAATATCAAATAGGCCTTGGCCAGCACATAGACAGCACCGGGTGCGCCATGGCACCAGTGCACCAGACGCTTGTCGCGTCCGGAGCGCAAATCCTCCAGGGCCACCGGAAAATTGCCCTCATTGTCCTGCAGCTCCAGAAAGTAGTCAATGGAGCGCTTAATGTCGCGCAGCTCAGCGGCCGGCGCCGAAATTGGCACCGTACGGAACCAGGGACTATCCAGCAGCATGTGCAGTATGGCGCACAGTCCATGGGCGGCGCCCAAATACTCGGTCCCATGGTACTGATACATCAGTGGCAGGGGCGAATTGTTGAGTTTGCTGTACTCGCGCCCGCTGGTCACGATCAGCTGGCAAATGGAGACCAGATCATCATCGGTTATCTTCTTCTCCGGCAGCACATCGTTCAGCCAATAGCAGCCGGATAGATAGCCGGCACGGCCCACAAGCACCTCATCGCAGCCGTATTTGGTGTGCATGAACTCCTTGCTCGATGGTATGCCCGACTTGAAGTTGGCCAAATCATTGGACAGCTCCTCCGTGTTCTTGGCCTCCTGCGAGATGGCCGCCGAGACGGCATAGATGCCAGCATTGCCGCACAGAAACGAATAACGCTCCGCGGAGCGTTTCTTGTATCGCTTGGCATTCGCCTTGGCGTTGCGTATGAAGGCGGCTGCGTGCTCCAGCGCTGGATACAGATCACGCGTCTGTTCGCAACTGTGCAGCTTCCAGAACATGTAGGCAATGCCCGCATTGCCCACATACAGATCACCGCGATTGTCCTCCTCGTCGCTATTGGGATGACAGTGCTCCAATATGGCGTCCACATAGGTGCATATCAGGGTCTTGATGTGCTCCTCATCGGTGGCAAAGGGCGTATTCTCGCCGCCCGAGAAATCCGCAAACGGATTCTTCAAATAACGACGCTCCATCTCCCAACTGTGACTGTCCACCTCCTCCGCCTCCGTCTCTTCCAACGGCTGCGACACTTGTCCCTGTTGCGCTACGTTCTCCGTCGCCGGCTGCGCAATTGAGCCTAACCAACAACAATAGACGAGAATAATGAAAAGGACATTTTTTTTGTTTTTTTTTTTTTTTTTGTTATCGTAAATCGATTTGCCGGCGGGCCGCGCCCTGCGCCCGGCGTCTGACAGCCCACTTACCCTTTTCCGGTGTTGGCCGTGATTTGGAACCAATTGAATAGCTTCTGCTCGCTGCTGTACTGCGCACCTGCAACACGTTTATGCACTTAATAATAAACAACTAAATTATAATTCATAAAATGTAAAACGAATTGTGTACTACCAAAATGAATTGTGTTCTGTTCTATTGTTCGGTTGCTAGTGCTCGATACACGATAATCTTGTTTTAATTATACATTTGTGACAACAACGACACTCGTTCCAAAGCCAACCAGTTTTAAGCTCGAAAAACCTTTTTATATCTCAACAAGCCGAAATTCGCATTGTCCTGCCGACGTTTACACATCGTTGGCAATTTTTGCGATATTTTATCGATATATCGAATAGTTGGCAATTTATGCAATCAGCTGTCATGTGGCAAATTGCGCGAATGCAAATGAGTTGGTAACGGTTTTTAATGTGCAATTAGTTGTGCAATCAGTGTTACCAGCTGTGTCTAGAAAAAAGACGCTGAATGTAATGTAAAAATAGTAAAATTAGCTGAATTAACATGGCCGTAAAAAGGGAAACCAGTATAAAATTGTAATTGTAATAAGGTAGATAAATTGTGTTTTCGTTAAGACACAAAAAATCTAAGCCGAACAAATTTCAAAAAAGTAAGAAATCCAATAAACGCTGAAACTGACAGCCCTGGGTGCGAATCGCATTAACGTTCATCGATAGGCGTTGCGTAGCATCGATACTAATGCTGTTCATACACAAGCATCGATGCTTATTTACGCAATTTTCGAATGAAATGGAAAAACTTAATATATTTTTTATTTGGCCTTTTAAGCCTATATAGCTTTATTTTAATGTTTGTATATCATAAGTTATTAGTTTTACTGCATCACAACTGTTTTGGTATAACTACTTTCGACGATTGCCGCCCAATATAGTGGCGATCCGTATGAATATATTCAATACATCCATGTAAATGGACATTGAACTGAAAAGAAATCAGACATAAGAAATACGAGAAATTGGGCTACCAAGTTCGTTACTCACGCATTAATGGGATCGAAGGGCGCCACGGCATACTGTGGATACACCTCGGCCTTGCGCACCAGTCGTTGTGTGTCGTAGAGCAGAAATCCGCTGAAGAGCACGAGACCGCCGTAAAGGGACATCGAAGCCAGGCCTGAAACGGGAGCAGAACAATGGGCATGGGCATGGACATGGTATTTGTTTATACGTTAATTGTGCACTTACCGGCGCCAATCACGGTCGTGGGCGGCAGCCACATTGAGGCCAGAGACGAGGCAAACACAACACCAAGGCCGATGGCCAGCGGTCCGCCCATATATAAGAACTTATCGTTTGGAGCACACGCAGCGATCGTGGACAGGCCACCGACAATGCCTCCAGTGTAGAGTGCAGCGCGCGTCATTATCGGACCGCCCAAAAAGCACAAGGGCGCAATAACACCCCCCAAAATGGCGCAGTGCAGCGCCCAGGCCAGGTGCTTCGGCCCCAGACCCGGCTCATACTGCATCGAGCGCGTCAGAGCGCCGCTGCCGACGACGAGCGCCAGTGAAGCGAATGTCCACTACGAGAACAACAACATGTATGTATGTGTGTGTGCGTGTCTATTGCTCAAGGATCAGCTCCTGCATTGTCAACTTACCAGCAAACCGCCTCGCGAGGCCAGCGAGAGTAGGCGTGGCGAGCGAAACACAGCCGCCGCGGAGGCAGCCGTCAATATACAAGAGCCCCCAAAGAAGGCGTAGCTGGACTGAATGCGCTCCTTCACATATTGCGGCCACATGCTGTTGGAATAGGCGTTCGCCAATTATGAAATTGAAGCAAGAATGTTTACGTTCGGCAAGCCGAAGCTTAAATACCCATAGGGGCATATGGTCCGACAGATATTGAAGATATCTTGGCAAAGACAAATACGACATAGTTATCCAATCAGGCCCATTTTTTGACAGGGCTTCAGGACAATCTATATACTGCGATTAGTTCCTATGGAACAGATATACTATATAGGATATTGAAGGGCAGGATTTAGAAGTCAAATCTCATGAGATTTGATCAAGTTATGGGAATGGGTACAGACCCATTCAGTAGGACAGGCAGACTGACCGACTCTTTCTATATGAAGGTACGTCCAGCATAAAACAAGCTCTTCAAGAGCAAGCGACAAGTATATAGGGTGTATATATATATATATAGAGAAGTACATAGTATAAAACTCTTTAGTAAATACAGATTGGGAGATCATCATCAGATGCTACGTAAATTTCATGAAGATCGGACAGGGTATAAGTGAAGGTAAAAGAAGGAAGCTACGCTGTCTGTTAGTATATGATAATATATACAATATTATATTATATATAGAATATTATACTATATATATATATGTGTATAGAATATTTGCAGCTCTGAGCAGCATGCAGGGCCTCTCTTGGTCGGGCGACCAAAAAGCAACCACGAAGAAGTGCTCTATTCGAGCTTAAACATGCCCTGAATCCTACTCGAAGCTGCAAATGTGTTTGCTCTTTAGCGGCGCGGATTGCAGCAGATGCTTTCTTATTAAATGTAGATTTCTTTAACGTAATTTTGCCATTAAGAACAGCTCTGCCGAGCATCTTGGCAGTCAAGTCAACGGAACATGAAGCTTACTGCTATGCTGGTTTAATAGGAGCGCTTTTTGGGCATTTGTTTACATAAGAAGGTCACGTCTGGTAGCCTGAGAAGTGCCCTAGAGAGAGAAGAAGCGCGTACTCACATGGCGTTGTCCGCAATGCTTGTGTGTTTGCCCATGCCGACGCCGTAGTAGCAGAGTGCGCCGAGTCCGACGACGGCGGCTCCGGCGACAGCGCCTTTGCCCATCGAATAAGCTGGAACATACATGATGATTACGCAAGAGGCGGCGGAGGCAGGCAGAGTGTGTGCACTTACCGTTGGCACTTGGCGGCGCCATTAGCTTCTCCTTGAGGGTGGGCGCACGTGGCTGTTCGACGGCGACAGGATTGCGTGTGTTGCGCACAGGATGGCGTGCATAGTTGCGCACTATGTTGAGGCTGGGCTTTGATTTGAGGAAGGCCTGCGAAGATTTGCCCAGCAAGAGGCCGCTCGGACGAGCCGTCGACAATGCAAGTCGTAGTAACATTTTCTTGTTGTGATGAAATTCGCAGTAGTCGCTAGTTTTTTCGTACGAGCCAAAAATGTAATTTTATAGCAGCTGTCGCTGTTCTTCGATCAATTTAAATGGTTTACTGTAAGCATATTTTATGAAAACTATTATATTTGTTTTGAAAATTTCTAGAAATTCCTACTTACTTGCTAGCACTTCGATACTTGAATGTACGTTTGACGACTTGAAGATGTATCGATATATAGATATATGTATGTAGTCCGTTCCTGCTGCGGCTATGTGTTTGTAAAAGTATCGTTCAAAATAAACGATAAGGTTGGCAACGCGATAGCTTTATAAATTCAAATTTATATCGCCATTTATGTGTATTCAAACAGCTGATAAAAATGGTTATTTGCTGTTTATCATTTGCTAGCTTAACATTGCTTTATGCTTAGTTAAACTACGACTTTCGCATTGATTGTGGTCAATAAAACATTTGATGTTTCCGTGGCAGCTATCGATAACACTAAACGATGTTAACTGTATTGCTAGTGTAAAACAGCCCTGTTAAATATAAATGGCGCCTAGCCAAAAGGAAAGTGCGTTTAATTTAATTTTGTTAAGTGCAATTTAATAATGCGCATCACACATACAATATTAAGGACACAAAGAATACATTGCGTTACAGCTGATTAACGACTAATTATGGCCTAATTGATACAATCACACTTAAAATGCGCTGCACACACACACACACACACACACACACACCAATATAACGGGATGTAACGGCTGCGCTTACACATGGTATTTGCGAGCGGGTGCTGCGGGTATGTCTGGTGCGCCCGGTCGCCGATCCTTGCTGATGACAATCAGCTCGGTCACATGTGATTTGCGCAAATTACCAGTATGATCATACGTATTCGTTTGTTCCAGTTCGCCCTGCGCATTCGACTCGTACGTCTTGCATTCGTACATGGGACAACACCTGGGATAGTCCTCATTGGCTTCGGTGGGCGGCAGGACGTTGCAGGCGCCCTTCAGTGCGCCCGGCACCTTGCAGCTGCAACGGAAATGCGTTTGCAATCGGAATTGATACGCGAATACTCAGCACGCTCACCTGTCCTCCCACAGCTGCAGCGTGCCCAGACACTGGACGCGCACACATTGGCCGGAACGCGTAAAGACCTCGCCCACATATAGCTGGCGTCCGCTCAGCGTGTCGCTGCAGTACTGCGGATTATAAAGGTATGCTGCCGGATGCTCCAGGTGAGTGAAAAGCCATAGCTATCGGACTTTAAGCCTCGCGCATACTTACAATGAAAAGGCGGCGTTGCCCGGCTAATGCCCATACAGATCACGAATATGAATCCCAGTAAGCATGTTCTGGCTGTCGAGTAGTCCATTTTTATTATTTTTTTTTTTATATATAACTCGACTGGATGCTGTGTTTGGTTTATGAGCCCGGCCCGACGTTTGCAAAGTTTAGTGCGCAACTGAGGCGAATGCGGCGGCCCGAGTATTTAATCTTTCTTCAGTTCCTACAAACACATCTAGCGTGTGCATATGTGTGTGTGTGTGTGTGTGCCTGTGTGTGTGTGTGTTTGTGGGTGTGCGTCTGCCTGTGTGTGTAATCACATGTACTTACGACATTTGCGCGCTTTCTCTACTGGGAATTAAACAATTTATGTATATGAAATGTGTTGATGTTTTTATATGCTTATCGCTTGGCCCGCAACGCAGAAATGCTGAAATAAAACAAACTTCAACTGTTAACTGTGGCTCGACTACGAGCTACCCTGCTTTAAGAGTCTGCAGTCCCAGCAGGTCCCTAAGAAGTATGCTAGGCATGGTGAAAATTCGGTGAGCATGTTTTGCAGCGGCAAACGTGCGTCATGCAGCACGCGCTTGATGATCTGTCATGCCTGACGTCTTGCAAGACAAGTCAGCTATGTTGTCCTTGAGAAATCAAATGCAACAAAATAATGCTCTAAACACTAACGCACATTTCTGCAGATTTTTATTCTATGCTTTTTGGATAACTTAAGCAGGAAATTTAACATTATACAACCTATGACTTGGCATCTAGGTAGGGGCATAGCTTGCCGGGCAGGCCATAAATTTCCCGTGATTTCCCATCACAATCTCTTTATCCTATCTACTTAACACTATGGTAGTTATAACGCTGCAGTCTAGGCGTTGTCATCGAGAAGCTCAATAAGCCACATACAATCAATGACATGTCATTAAGAACGGCAGGAATCAGATGCAGCATACCTGTCAAATGTGTAAGTGAACCAAAGCGCAGTTTATATAATAATTTATTAAAACTTGACACAATTGCAGGCTGTAGTCAATATACCCAATATGGACGGAACACTGAGGAGTATCAATAAAAACAAATTCAGATCAATATGCAAAATGGCAAAGCACTCGAACCCACAATGTTTACGAGCAAGTACGTATGTATATATCTGAATGCATGTATGTGTTTTGTGTGCGTATGTGTTGCTCTTTGAAGTTAAATGTTAAGACATTGTTTATAAATATTTTGATTCTCGTGTAGACTGCGTACCGTCTTGCAGCAGGCGGCATAATTATCGTTGTGTGGGGCAATGGGCCACTGGATGTGAGTCAGGCACCGGACAACGGGCTGTTTGCTTTTACGGGTGCTTTCCCCATTTCGAATTTCGTGCGGGCTACCTTCACGTGTCCCCTAAGCACATTTTACAATTTTACATTTGACGCGTCTTCATTCAGTAGCAATTAACGCTTGGCATTTGGCGATTAGCAAAATCCAATGACGACTTATCAATTTCAAGAAACGAGATAACCGCAACGACAGCGCCCTTTGAACCGCGCTTAGCTCGTCTGCGCCTGCCACTGGGCAGTCGTTCGCATCGTGCGACTGTTCGCACGACTGAAAATTCTGAAAATTTCTGTCACACTCGCAATTTCCTGCACAAATCCATAGAGTGATGCGGCATCCTGGCTGCCACCTGCTTAGAGCTATGTGCCTTGCTCTAGCCGTTGGCCGTTGGCCGGAAACGGAAATGGAAATTGTCACAAATTCTTAACAGCCCTATCAAATGTGCGCTGATGATTGCCTCGGTTAGCTGTCGCTTGGTTGACTCATCATCTTCGCTCCTCCCCCTCATTCAGATAGCAGCAAAAACGCTGCTTACTTTTATGCGGTCGCATTTCATTTGATTTAGTTCGTTGCATACTTTCACAGTGCTTGAAAGCAAGGGCATCTTCTCGATTGTATATAAACAATTAGCCGGGGGTGCCCCAAATGCAGATCGGGCATTCAAAACATTCTAGTTTCCGTGCACACTCGCACACACACAGACACACACACCCGCTGTGCTTCGTCTTCTCATTGCCCTGCCCTATGATTAACTTCTGTGTTTATTGTCCGATGTTTATAAAGTTTTTAGGTCTTAAATATGATATACAAAAGCGTGTGCATACCAAAGCACAATGCGCCAGCTAGTTGCTTCCAGCCTCGAGGGCGTATAGATGAATACTAATTGGTTTATATTATACGAGAACCTGCATAACAACTAAAGGGTATTTTGCTGCTATAATGTTCATGTCATGCTCAGAAACCATGTGTCAAAATATTTATCTATATTATATATTCGTTCTGTGCATGTTATAGGATCGTATAAATAGCAAATGTTATGTTTCAAGCTTTTCTAGCTTAGCTCTTCAGTTAGATGCGTTTGATGGCCAGACAGAGCCTTTATGGCTCGATTATGCCATCCTTTTGCCCAAATGAGAATGTCTACATGAAAATGGGAATTTGGTCGTCGTATTCATTTTCGATAAGTTAATGAAGCAGCTGGCTGCCGACTGATTGACCGATTGATTGACTGGGAAAGTAAAAACAGAAGCTTAAAGATCATTGAGCTATTAAAGCACCTCAAGCCGATTAGGTTTCGTTTGATAAGCAACTCAGAGAATATAAGTGTGTCGTATTGTTGGCCAATAATTAGCCGAGAATGTCAAATCACTTGCTGTTAATTGATGTTTATCGAGAGTAGAGTCGAACTAATCGTTGTTACAGCTTGGCTCTGCTTGTGCTTTGAATAGTGTACTTTGAGCTGCATAAATTCAGCTGGTAGAGTTGGCGCATTTTCGGTGGCACTTCAAGCATTATGTGTAACTATTCCAGATAGATACCTTTGTGCTCTGGAATCGCCCATGACGCTGGGTAAATGGGGCTAGCTGGCTACGTCAACCGAAGTTTCGTCGCATCGTTGTCGTTGTTGATCGTCTTGCTCTGGCTTGCGACTTCGGCTGGGGTTGTTTTTATACTCTGTACACATGGAAATTGGACAAATGGGGTATAATGGGCAGACGGTAGCAACTCGTAAACCATGAATTTCCCATATGTATTTCTGATCGGGACAACGAGCTGCGTCGGCCTGGCTATGTCTGTCTGTCCGTCCGTTAAGATAATGAAAATTCAATACTTAACAAACGCAGTTCCAGTTTTTCTTGAAAGTTTTTAAGAAATGCGGCTAGAGCCTTACGCTTGGGCTTACACACACTTCTTATGCTTTATATTAGGCGGCGAAATTTCATAACGATCGGACTATAAATACCGAAGTTCTGCCAAAACACGTTGACTTTAATGTGGGTGCTAGGCAAGCAAGCGGCATGCTTTGGGGTGTTTGTTTTTTTTTGTGTACAATCTTTGTAAACGACAGCTTGTCGCTTTGTCCAGGGTAACGCTTAGTCGGTCAATTCTGATCAGAGCACTTACTTGTTTTTGGAGCTGTCGCAGTCGTTGTCGCAGTCGCAATCGCCGGTTGCCGCTTGTCGTTTGTCGTTTGTCGTTTGCCGTTTGCCGGTTCCATCAGTTAAGCGACGATCGCGGCACGGTTAAGTACGCAGCGCTCAGATATAAATACATAGCCACAGGCTGCAGATACATTTGTGGATATAAAGATACGGCTGTGACATATTAGCCGCGCGACTCTCTGAAGTAGCTTTTAAAGTTCAATCCCGTCCCGCACTGTCCCGCTTCGCCCAATCTTGCAAAAAGGGCTACAATAAAATGCAATTAAGCTGCTCGAATCAATTCTCAGCAAATTGAATTAAAGCGCGTGAAGAGCTCCTCTCTACACACACACACACCCCCTCCACCCCTCCACCCACACCCACAAGCAACAACAACAAGCCCCTGATATGTGGGCGAGTGTTATCCGAACCTCGAAGTCCATAGCCTCGAGCTCGAGAACTTTGCCCACGGAGTGCTGTGAAAATATACAAA